ATTTTGAGATTAGGTTTTTTTTCTCTTTACAACGATATATCACACATGGTGGTTCAGTATCACATTTTTTCTAAAAATACAATTTTCATATTCTGCAAAGAGTGCTATACAAAAACAAAACGTTGTTTTGTTGTGAACAAAATGTTGACCTATTTCAAGCAGTCATTTACGTTTGTGCTAATTTTATTGCTAAAATATTATTTACTCTTATGTATTTTGTTCTAATTTGAATTATAATTTTCTTTTAAAACGAAGGTTCAATTCTCTTTATATGACAATTCAACTCATGTATAAAAAATCGCATAAGCCGCAGTGCAATTGTCACTTTGACGGCGGCAAAAGTTACCTGCAACTTTTCCAGCGACAAATGCACTAGTGGTTTTTTCACTTATTCATTTTCGAACCAAATATCGTATTATCCTGTCCCATATGACTAGATGACGTCTGTCAATAATTGATTAAGTTTGGTGAATTTCTTGTTCGTTAAATTGTCCTGCCGAATTACACTCGAGGTTTGTATTTAAACCGAGTAAATTTGTGTTGTTGCAATTCAAATCTGTTGCCTTTTAGCAATTGAACTCTAAAAACTGTCAACCTAAAAATGCTCCACCTTCGGTGTCGCATTTTTATTAGTTGACAGTTTTTCTCGTCTAATTGCTAGGCAACAGATTTTCATTACCTAAACAACCCAAATTTACTCGCTAAAATATGTACAAACCTCTTGTGCAATTATAAGGCCTTGTCTCACAGTGGAAGCGTTTACGCGCGAACTGAAATACGCACGTTAGGCTTGTCTCACAGTGGAAGCGTTTACGCGCGAACTGAAATACGCATGTTAACGTCAGAAATTGTACGTCCGTATACGCACAAATCGCATTCGCACATTAGCTGCGTATCCATCATGAGCTGAGCAACTGTTCTCAAGCACAATCGTCTACAACCTGCGAATTCGCATAAAAATCCGAACAAAATGGGATCGGTTCGCATGTCGCAATTACACGCACGTATACGGACGATTTATTAATCGCTAATGTGCGAAGGTCCGTTTGAAATCGTACGTTTGAATAGTTCGTCCATAAACGTACGTATTCGTACGAATCACAGTTCGCGCGTAAACGCTTCCACTGTGAGACAAGCCTTAACGTCAGAAATTGTACGTCCGTGTACGCACATATCGCATTCTCACATTATCTGCGTATGCATCGTGAGCTGAGCAATACTGTTCACAAACAATCGTCTACAACCTGCGAATACGCATAAAAATCCGAACAAAATGGGATCGGTTCGCACGTCGCAATTACACGCATGTATACGGACGATTTATTAATCGCTAATGTGCGAAGGGCCGTTTGAAATTGTACGTTTGAATAGTTCGTCCGTAAACGTAAGTATTCGTACGAATCCCAGTTCGCGCGTAAACGCTTCCACTGTGAGACAAGCCTAAACAGAAATGATCACTGACTTGCAGAACATTCATACTACAATTGTGACAATTTAATTGAAATCCTGGTACTTCCGGGAAGAGTGTCAATTCTGCGTTACTTCGTTAAACTTCGTTCTGTGTGCCAGACCTACGTTTCTTAGCTGTACAAACAGTTCCACTGCGTCAGTTTGATGAAACCTTTACCCGTGGCAGCACTACCTACACAATTCCAATTTCAAATCGTAAATTTCAAATTAAAACGAATCTTACCAACTTTACCACTTCCATTTGGCTTGCTGCCAAGTAATGGGAACCGATCTCCACTGTAAATACCCTCTTCTCTGCCATCTTTACGAACGAGGATAGCTAGTCATAAGCAAACCAAGTAAAAAGACACTCTCGTCGTAAACATTTTACAAAATGCGAAAGGGGGGCCCTTATCGGTTACCAGAATTCGCATCCCAATTCCTTCAGTCATTGCGGCACTTCTTCCATAATCTCTCTTGATTTCCTTATCACTTGCACTTCACAGGTGATTTTTTTTCAAAGTAAACTTACCTATGCATTAAGAATCAGATTTATAGTATATTATAAACACTTGCAGATGTGTTGCATATTGACTCCCTCGGGTACTACGCAAACGCTTAAATTTGAATTTGCTTTAACGCGCTCGAATTAATAAAGCCTTCGCTCATCAGCATCACTGTGAATTCCAGTTACATTATAATCCCAACAACCGTCACGATCCTTTACAGCTAAATATGGAATAAACAACAAGAATTGTAACGTTATTAGGTATTTATTATAATCAAAACCCTTCTACCATCATGATGTACGGAAAATAAATTAACATATTCTACCAGATAAGTCACTATAAACCAAGCTATAAACTATTGTGCTCCATTTTTTATAGATGTGATGATGATAGATGTATATATGAGTGTTGGGAAACAAGGAGTAGTTTTTTGCAATAGTTTACTCACCTTGGTGCTACAGTGTCGAACAACCTCATAATCACATGTTATGTTAGTAGCTTTCATTTCTTTCTAATTATCCAATATAAACAATATTTTTTTCGAAACTACCCGAGACGTGAGATTGCAATTTCTAATCAAGTGAGATCTCGACTCAAGATTGCATTCACTAGATGGTAGTGAGGTAGCGAAGTGAAATTTGTATATGGCCTGTGTTATTTATTTTATTGGACTGCAAGTGGTAGAAGTCTAGAGCAGCTACAAGGTCTTGGTCAGTTTAAAGTAGAACTTGTGTGTACTTCGGTGTACATACTTAGAGTACTGAGGTAGCAGTATGTGGGTTTATTGCGAGAGTGATGGAAAAAATTAATAAAGATATTGCAAATGTTTCTTAAAGAGCCATTTACCACACTTTTTAACCCTGTGTTGGAATCGGTCTCTGGGTAGCCTAGGAGTTGCCCTTATACATGAACATCTGCAGACGTTCAATTGTCCTTTTAGAATTCAACCCTACGGCATCTGTTCCAAACTGTGGGACCTTTAGTAACTATTTTCATTTTTTCCTGAAGGCTCTGGATTCCCTGGCGGTTACACCATTGCAAATAACGCGTTATAATATATTATATGTAAGCGATACGCAAGTCTTACGCATAGTCGCAAAGGTTGAAAATGTTTCAAAGTTATGCACGGTCAAATATCATACTAGTAGTATGATCATTGAATTTATAACTAAACGCACACTAAATCATAAACAAATTCTCTTTTTTTACTATGAATCATCATGCCCCTAACATTTGTGGGGGGTTACTTTTAAGATGGCAATTTCCGTCAACGGAATTTATAATTTGGTTTGTGCATTTCATTATAAGAATCACTGATTAGTTTTTCACAAAAGAAAAGTAGTTTTCTCCTAAATTGTGTGAAATCCGTGATAAATAAACAATGCCAAATTTTGTTTTAAAAGCGCTGTGATTGGACCATTTTTTTAAATCAGTCACGTGCCATGATGTCGTACCTACTACGTCATCGCGTCATGTCACGTGACCCAGTTTTTAGTTTATCGTTGAAGCCGCTTACGCGTCCTATGCAGCTTTTTTCCGTTTTCTTTGAAAATAAAAACGATCATAACAAAATAAACGCCAGAAAATTAAAACTAAACACTTGGAAGATTGTGGCACGTCGTTATTTTCGGCCCCTCGTTAAATAAATCGGTGTTTTCAAACGTTTCAATGTTTGTGGTTATGATGGCGTCCCTTTGAATTTAAACTCGCGATTGCGTGTTACCTCGATGTTTCTTGCATTGTTTTTCAAATTATAAAGTGTCGTGATATTAAAAATCAACTCTTAACAGTAGTAAATGCGTAATTCGAAAAGCAACATCGCTCGTTTCGGTGCCGTTCTCATTTTCTGTACCTGAAACTGGTGTTGTCTGGTGCAATTAACGTGTTTCTGTTCTTGTTTTGGATCAAAGACGTCTAATGAGTACGATTTCAAGATATAGGTATCCGACTTGCAGGTATATTTTCAAAACTTTTATAAGTTCCATCATACTTCTTTACTGTCGGCCTTGAACTCTCGAAATGCTAAGTAACATAGGTACATCTCTTAGTTTTTGCGATATCTACAATAAAAAAGCATGTTCAAAAGTTCATATTTAGTTTTCATTTTGGGTGTAAATGATAAATATGTTGAATGTGCAGACCATATGGCGGATAAAACCGGTATATTAACATTGTACACAAGTGGTCTAATCACACACTCATTTTACTACCTTCCTCGTAAATATAACAACATCCGCATCGTAGACTTTTGGAGTATAAGGTAGATTTTTATTACCGTCCAATGCCAATAATCGGTAGCAGATGTAAAAATTCTTTACCTTCACAACCTGTTGGAACGATCCGGATCAATTTATCTTGTAATACTAGTTCAAACTCAACGCTGCAACGTACATTTATTTTATTTCAGTAGGTGTTTCTTAAATGGAGGAAATTCACAAACATGGAAAACCTGCTCGGAATTGTGAGTTTGTATCTCAATCTCCTTTCGGGTTTTCTCCCATTCTTTCAAGTATACTATTGACCCTGCAATTAAAAATGCATTGCTGTCAAGGCACTTGTTTTGTTTACATCGGAAATCGTACTTAAATTGAACTTCCAAAGGCGACTCGACAGCACCTCATTTTTGATCGCCCGATATTTCTGTACTTGCAAATTCAAACCACTTTAGCTGTTGAATAATGTCGCAACGATAATATAAATTTTATTCGCATATTTACACTTAAAGTAAGTCCGTAAAAATGATAAATAGTTGACTTCATTTCTTTCTAGTCTAGAGGCACCATTAGCCTCCTCCCATTCTATGCTTTGATGTTGAAGTATTCTTGCTACTTAGGTGCATATCCCATATTGTCTTTATGCTTCCCCTTTTCTTCCTATTTTGAATTCCAGTGTTCCATATGTACGGTTTCGCAAGCTGACTGTTTTCCATTCCTCCAAGGCGTCCAAATAAGCGTTTTAATTTTTGTCTATCAAATGTCTCTATCAGAGCATCCACTTCTTTTTTTATAATCTTACTAGGAATTCCACCAACCCCCCGTACCCTTCGCAAGTACTTCATTTCAGTAGCTTGTAGTCTGGTTTTTTGTGATTCGTTCAGCACCCAACTCTCTCTCTACTATAGGTCAATAATTGGTCTGTAAAGTTATTGCTGTAAGTAGATTTCATTAACTATTTCTAATTAACTGTTACAGTACTTACGGAAACAGTTTCCTATCGCCTTTGGCATATTCTAGGCATTCCTCGAGAAATTCATAGCCATGTACTTGAAATGTAGATAACCAAATTCATCTTCATAATAATAATAATAATAATAATAATATTTATTGGTGGGGTTTATACAGAAAATATTTCCACACGTCACAGTATAGGGAAGCACAATTGCCACTTTATTATTCGGAGCCATCAAACTTGTAGTTCAAGTACTCATCGATGCTATAGAATGCTTTGGCACCAAGGAACACTCTGGTTGTTTTTCTGAATTGTTGTTCTTCCAGATCCCTGATGTAGTCAGGAAGAGTATTGTAACATTTCTTCATGAAATAGTTAATGTCTCGTCCTTTTACCGTCCGATAGTAGTCTTCGACAAGGTTGTTTTTAGTCCGCACATTGTAATGACATTTATCACTGTTTTTACGAAGGGTTGGAAGGGCCTTCTTTGCGTGTGTTAGACAGGTAAATATATATATACATGGGAGTGTAAGGATGTTAAGTTTGGTGAAGGATGTTCTGCAACAATCTCTATATTTGCGGTTGTCAATGATAACATGGCATTAACATATACCTACAATTATTTTAACGTTTACAGTGTGTTTTCAAAAACCACAAAACAAAAATGATCATTTTCTCATATTGCGATTGATTATATTTTACTTTTCAGTTCTTGACGAACGAGGAGTGCCGGGGAAGTGTGCAGTGTTTCATCATTATACTTTGGTTGATATGGTTCTTCCCAGGACAGACTGAATTATTGAGGCTAAAGGGTAAGTGTCCATTCCTTTTTATTGCCAGTGTTTATTGCTCAATTTCTTTAAGAAAACGGCCAAACAAACAAACGCTTGACTACTGTCCCAGTCAACATTTTCAATTGTTTTAAACGAAGTATACATATTTTAATATCATTTCTAATGTAAATCTTCTCTTTGTTACAGATTGCAGAAAGGCGGCCTCATAAGGTAGGATTTTTCCTTTTATGCATGGTGTATATTGCATGTCATTTTTTGTACGGGGGGCAAAAGTGAATAGTGAATATCAACCAGAAGGAAGACCAATAATTGTTCTGAGCATGAGTTTCGTGTGTATAGCTATGAAAATTGAAACAGTTTTCCCTGTCTGTCATCCTAGTGACGTACGATTGACTGCAATGATTCTTAGGATAGACTTTTTCGCAGCGTCCATCTGTTTCCTTCATATTGGCGCGAGTGTGACTGTGAATTCACAGCCATACCAGCTCTGTGATGCAAACAGATTTTCTCTGCGAATAAGCCTAAAGAATCATTGGTGCCGTTTTTTCCGTTCCCAAGCTGAGGGACTTTGAGGATTATTACATTTTCATTTATTATTGCGGTAAAGAAATAATTTCATCTCATAGTGTCCATTTGCGGAAAATTCTCCTTCTTTTCTTCTCAAAAGGATTCAATGCAGGAAACTTATTCTTCTATAAATAATGCCATGCGGCATTTTAACGGTAATTTATTGAATTGTAACAGATAGTGCGTATACCAGGTGAACAAGTTAGCAATGTCGTTAATTTTGGAGGTGGTAAAGAGAGTCAAAATAAGTACTTTTGCCTAATACACCATAGGTCGAAAGCGCTTCCCTAAGAAACTAGGTGTCTCGGTCATCTTCCCTTAAACTATAATGAGTTCTGATGGCGAAACATTTTAGGGAATGGGAATGGGGCATGGGCGCGGACATGAGAATCCTTACTCTATACGCTTTTTATTACTTGAGGGGTGTCGATAACTGTTTATCGGCATCAAGCATGGAAAATAAAGTAGCTGTAAGATCCTTTTTGTTTTTGGGCATCTGTTCTGGTATCTAGTTACAATTATTAAGTTGTATCTGTATCTTTACCTAGATCCAAGAATGAAAGTATCTATTACAACACTGATGAGATCTGATGGTTACACATTTAATTTTATTTCAGAAAGTGTAGTACGGGGTGGTCTAGGGGGTGGGGAATATCACCCAGTATACGGTGGTTCGTGGCACCTAATCTGTACATTGATACACTTGGTTATCATTATCACCATTTTAAGATAAAAGTAGTATGTGGGTTTTTTTCAAAGATAAAAACTTGTTAATTTACAATATAGGGTTAAACGATATAATGTATTTAAATATTTTGATATGTCACTTTACATTTACTTAACTGCTCTTAAGAATAGCTACTAATAAATATTTGAAAAACCATAAAGATTCATTATATTTGCGCATAAAACAAATTGTATATGCATTGTTGGGGATAAATGCTACCCAGTACCCAAGTATGTGTTCGCTTTTTATAAAATATGAGGGATAAAATTACAGATTTCAATAAACAAGTTCGAGGTTATACTGTCTGCTATGTTGTCAAACAAGTATTTTTATTCGCACATAATATGTATTTGCAAAACATTTTCCTTGTTAACACTTTAAATACACTCTCTAATCAACCTAAAAACGTATTCTAGAAATCTGAATTTTGTTGGTACTGTACCGTACGAATAGATACACAAAAACACTAGCAGTAGGTTTGATCATTTATAAAAAAAAGTAAACATCTGTTGCATCTATGTATTTGGTACCTACTCTTTCGTATTTTTTTATGTACTTTATATAAAAACAAATGAGAATTCATATATTCATTTCCGAGTAACAATTCTCATAGACTTAACTGTGATGATCCTACATTATTTTTTAATTGTAGAAGTGAAAGTATAATAAATGGTACTGATATGTACAGTAATGTCAAAAAATTAAAATGTTTTGAAAGGGACTTTTATATTTACAATTTTTCTACGCACAAAATTTAATTTTTTGGTTTAAAATTTGGATTGAGATGTCATGATTTTTAACTTGCACGAAAAAATTCTTTTAATACGAGACGCTTCCTAGAGGTAAATAGACAATTTCACAATTAAGGAAACAATATACAGAATGTCATCTTGACTTATCAATAATCATCCTAAATTCTTCTTTATTAATGCTTTCAATGGGTACATAAAAAAAAAGTTTGTAGTCTACACACCTAAAAACAGAAGAAATTCTAATTGCGTTACATATTGGACATCATCAAAAATTTACAATAAATGAACAATTATCTTATATATATATTTCATTGTTACATTTTTATTTGTATCTTGTATCTATTATTAATTATGCAGCAGTAACTACAATTTATTTGCCCGACAATAAATTCGTCACATTATCGACTTGTCATCTGTAATATTATTAAAGTGGTCTCATTCTGAAGTATTTATTAAATAAAAGAACTACAAAAATGTGGAGCGGAAATTAATATTCTTTTTATGTTATGTTATATATCATTATGACAGTTCGATAATGAATATCGCGTTCAATTCTTTATACATACTCGTACCTTTTAGTGAAGCGTTTGCGAGAATAAAAATTGAAAAATATTTTTGTTAGAACAATCGCATCCGCGTAAAAAAGGGGCAATTTTGCTGCAAACATGTATTTACAAAATGAAAAGACCATACCTTGTACTAGTCACTCAATTTGAGAGCTAGCACTGGTTCCTCCTGTGATGCTGTTATCTCAGATATTGTGAACACAGATGGACCTACCTTTCGTCGTCACATCTCCGTAAGTACTCTACTAAATTCCCTGTGTTTAAAATTTAGTCCTCAATCATCATCGTTACAAGTATTATTCTCGTCATACAAAGAAAATGGATCATTTAAAATGACTAAAATTATTTATTGAGCACCATTTAAAAATATATAAATTTCATTTAAATAGCTCCACACTAGTGGGTCCCCTGTGTTCACTACACAATCACAGCCTAGTTTCCGTTTTCAATACGGTCCGACATATTTGCAACACTAAAGTTCTTCTTCTTAAAACTACTAAATATTTATAAAATATAAATACCTACGAATTTCGTTATTCTTGCTCTTCGACAGTTTTACTTTCTTCTTGATCACCTTGAGGTTCTTCTGCAGTATCTTCTACCGTTTCGGTGGTGTCCTGCGGTTCATCGTGCAAAGGCGTCGAGCCTCCATCCGCAGCTGTGTATAACCCTTCACCTTGTTCGACATTATCGCACTCGTTTTCAACAGATTCGTTCACCTGTTCCGATTCGTGTTGTTCGACAGTTTCATTTTGTTCAAAAGATTCATCTACGGTGGAAGAGTTACTCCATCGCGATTGGCGATCACGACGATCACGGGCCGGTTCGTTTTCCTCTTCAAAAGCGCCGCCACCGCCGAACTCGTGTCTGAAGTGACGTCTATCATCTCGCCTTCTGTGTCGCTGATGGTGAGACGATTCGTCAAAGTGACCCGGCGGACCTCTAAAGTAATCTGGAGGTGCATCGAACCTTGGCTGGAAATTTGGACGAGGAGCGTCCTTCCAATGCGGTCCTTTAAAGTTAAATTAAAATTGTAAAGATTTTTTATTAATTGCAATAAAGAAATAAAGAAAACGTGTATACAGTGTGTCCCAGATCGCGTGGGATTACATGGGTAACTTTGTTATTATTAAAGATAGAGAATTGGTTAAAATTATTATTATTATTATTATTAAATGGGCAATGTTTTGCAGTTTTGAATGCTTATTTAAAATTCCCTTATGGAATTTCAAAATGTCGCATAGGTGCAACGTAAATTCAAAAAAACTAAAAGTGGTCATTTGCTTGAATGTCTTATATTATCGAAAGTATAAGAGATATAAAAAAAAGTTTTATATAAAAGTGACTGTCTTTGATACGCTTAATATTGATGTCAAAAAAAAATTTAAGATGGCCACTTTTGAGGAACATTTACCAACTTCCTAAAGTTAAATGGGCGCCATATTGGATTTTTAGATTACTTGATAGATTTTTTAATACTCTTTTCAACGAGCCATCATAACATAAGATTGAAAATAAGATACCAATTATATTAACGGTTTTTGATGACCAATTTTAGTTTTTTTGAATTTACGTCGAACCTATGCGACATTTTGAATTTCCATAAGGAAATTTTAAATAAGCATCCAAAACTGCAAAACATTGTCCATTTAACCAATTCTCTATCTTTAATAATAACAAAGTTACCCATGCAATCCCACGCGATCTGGGACACACTGTATATTAAATTAATAGTAGAACAAAATTACACAAATCCGATCATAGAAAGCACAAATAACAGAGATAATGAGATAAATGAAGGAGCAAGTTTAACGAGGAAAGTATAGAATAACCAATGATGTACCTTAATAGTGTCAATAAAATATATAGAAAGAAACAAAAAAGGACAAAAAAGAGGAGGGCAACTTACTAAAACTAGTAAAGTGCACTGTAACAAATAAACGTTTGCGCCGGGGGAGTAGGCAACATTGCTGTTGCATTCCTCTCTTCAAATCATTTCAGTAGCCATGCAGCAGAGGTCCAAACAGGAACGGTCGTTCGCAGTAAAAGCATTATATCAAAACGGTAGTTATGCA